ACAGAGGCAGAGTTTGAGGTTCCAGAGCCTTCCACTGGCCCTTCTCATTCTGCTACACATTTCATTCCTACCAGACTGCATGCTCCCTGAAGGCAGGAACTATGTATCAGCTACCTCTGATTTCCTTTGACTCTGAGCAAGGGCTCAGGAAGTGCTTGTGCATGAATCAGTCAAAGAGTAACTTCAAACACTCAGCCCTCTGCCTCCAGCTGGACCTGGTGAAATTACGAGGATGGTCAGCACAGAGTTAACGCCCAGTCTTCCTTCTGTCCCCCAAACTCTGGCCTCCTGTGGTGTCAAGGGCTTTGTGATCTGCATGTTAATTAGGCTCTTAGTGAAAACACAGACTTGAAAGCTCTCAGATGGGGGAGGAGTGAATGTCATTGACCACTGGCCACCAGGATGTGACTTGGCCCAGGCAGCAGAGGAACTCTTGGCCTCTGAGACCATAGTCCTGGCTTTCAGCTCAGGCCCAGCAGGGTACCCAGTGAGGTTCATGCCACACAAAGGGAACTGATAACTTTTAAGAGGGAGGGATTTTTCACAAGTGCCTTACTATCAAGGGTACACCCCCCTGAACTCAGGCCAGCTCCTCCCCGCCTGCCAAGTTGGAAGAGCTTTCATGAGCAATAACTTGTTTAGTATGCAACGGGAGTTAGTGCCAAATGGAAATTCCCTTTAAACTTCAGCAACTGTGAGGTAATTTGGTAAAACATTGCTGTATAACAATTGCACAATATGTACCAAGAATCTTAAAAATGACCCGCTCATGAATCAAAGAGCCCACACATTTAGGGAAATAACCCTAAATGAAGGCAACTCTTTGTGAAAAACTTTGCTGATCACATCACAATTTTTAAAGTAGGAAAACAACCTAAACTGTAACCTAGTAAACAATCTAAATATGCATTAGTAGGAACATTGGGAAATCTTGAGTTGACTAATATTATAGCTGACACTGATTTTGTGTTTTCCACATGCCAGATATTTTGCTAAGTTCTTCATGTATAATACTTGATCCCCTTTTATCCTAGTTATGAGACAGTTACTATTGTTAGCCCTACTTTGCAGATGAGTAAACTGAGACTTTGGCCATTTTAGGTTTGTTGTCTAAAGTTTCCTGGCTCTGCTGGAGCAGGTAGCTTAACTCCAGAAACTAAATTATTACCACACTACATCACCCCTCTCAACATGTGTGTGTTTTGGTGGAATATTGTACATCTATTTTAAATATTATCTACCTACTTTAATCATGTTTATGCTATTTTAATAACATGGAATGGAATAGTTTCTCTTATAAAATTCAATTTAAAACCAGATATGGGGCCTCCCTGGTGGCGCAGGCGGTTGAGCGCAGCGCTGTGAAGCTGTCCACAGCCTCTGCAGTGCCGGTTCGATCCCCACCGGCCTTGGAGTAACCCACACGGCGAGTAGATCTCTCCAGTCTGGCCCGCTGCTCCCCTCAACAGTGCATTTCGTCAGTCTGCCTGTTCTATTTCCCGCTCTGTCTCTGGCAAATCCTCTCACCCTCCTGCGCATCTGGCCTGTACCCTGGTTCTTGTATGAATAAATAAATCTTTAAAAAAAAAAGATATGAAATTATCTCTATAACATAGTACAACCTCTTAAAAGATTTAATCTTGTATATAGAAAAAGAAAAGGAAACATGTGAGTGTGTTAACAGTGACTGTATTGGGGTAGATGGGTATTTTCTCCTTCTACACTCAATATTTTATGTCACGTACAGTTTCAACTATGGGCCACCATTAATGGACAGTTAGGGTGAACTCACTGGCTCTATATTTGCAAGTTGCACCTCAACCTGACCTTTGCCATATGGCTATGTGGGCAGTCTCTATGGTCCCTCGTCACCATCCAGAAAGAGGACTGGTAACTCTGAGATAAAGCTAAAGGCATGAACAATCCCACAAGCCTGGCCTGGGACTGCCTGAAAATGATCTCAGCAAGTCACCATGCAGATTGGGCCTGACCCAGAGCACAGACCACAGCTTATAACCAACCCTAGTCCCACAATCAACCATATATTGCTTTGGGCTGCATGGTATGGTGTTTGTCTGTGCTTGCTTTCCGTTTTAATTGAATTATGTGACATTTTCCAATAGAAAGACCCCAAAGAAAAATCCAGCTTTCTGTTTTCTTTTTAAAATTCAGTAGATTTAGGCTCAATGGCAATAGTCAGCTAGAACAGGCAACATAGTCACCCCTCAGACAGGACATGGGCCCAGCTGCCATCATGCCCACCACTTCCCAATGCCTCCCAGATGCCAAAGCTAACACATGTGCTTGAGTTACTGCTTTTTTAATAAGGGAGTGACACGGAAAGTGAGATATGTGCTGTGTTCACATTTCAAGCAAAAGAGGAAAAATGGGGCCTCCCCTAGTGGTGCAGGTGATTGAGCGCCGTGCTGTGGAGCTGTCCGCAGCCTCTGCAGTGCCGGTTCAATCCCAGCCAGCCGCCGAGGGTCCCACATGGCACGGCAGACCTCTCCTGTCTCACCCATGGCTCCCCTCAGCAGTATATTTTGTTAGTCTGCCTGTTCTGCTCCCTGCTCTGTCTTGGTGAATGTTCTCACCCTCCCGCACATCTGGCCTGTACCCTGTTCTTGTATAAAGAAATAAATCTACAAAAAAAAGAGGAAAAATGAAATATAGGTTAGGAGGGCTGTGGGTGTCAAGAAAAATGAAAAAGGGTACATATTTCAGACACCTCTGCTCATTGATGTCAGATTCATTGTGGTTCCAATGAATCTTTGTTTTTCTACCTCTATCTTAGAACCTCTAGCTCTATCTCAGGAAGAAGATAAAAGAAAACTACATCCTTTCTCATTTCTCTGGAAAGATTCTTGGCAGAAAGTACTGCCTGGTGATCCTTTGCCTGCCTCCCCAGTAACTGATTCTCCCTAACATCTGTAATCACCAAAAACTTCCCCCCAAGCAGCTGGGGTAAGAGGCAAGGAAGAGTGGACTGTGCAGAGTAGCTGCCCCAAGCCATAGAACTGGAACCTTCCCTTGGCACCACTAGCCATGCCACTTACTTGAACAATGTCATTTTGGAGACTGACTCCCAGCTCAATTCCACCCTTAAAATTTGAAGCTGGTTTTGTGCATGATGATATTGTGCAAAGGCTCAAGTGTTAGGAAAGGTGCCAAGGTTTCAGCTTCTATAAAGTCCTAAGGCAGAAGCAGCCCCATTGGGCGCTGAGCCAGACTACCTGAGTTCCTAGATCAGCTCCACCAGCTATGATGACCTCAGGCAGGTGTCCTAAGGCAGGTTACAGACCTTCTCTGTGCCTCAGCCTCGCCTTCATAAATGTATTGGAATTGGGTTGTTGTGAAGACCACACATAGATGAAGCTCTTAGTACAGGGCCTGGCACATGATAAGGGCTAAGTAAGTGCAGGCTACTCAACCCCAGCACTGTGCCCCCTCTGCTTAGCACAGATCAGAGGTTTGACGGCACAGATAAGGTGAACTCTGCCATCTTGGTTTGTACCTTCCCTCCACTCTCTGGAGTAAATTGTCTTTTCTGCACCTTCAGCTAAGCCTGTGGGCCCAGGTGCTCATGAGTTAAAACTTCACAGGCCTGAGAAATGATACCTGTAGGATTCTCCCTTAGCTTTTCATCAAAAGCCCTCCCAAAAGAACAGTTTTCTGGCACACAGCAGGTGCATAACTATTGTGCGTTGGGTAAATGAACAAGGCTACTAGCCACACCAGCCTCACACTGTCATGGATTAAATGAGAAGGTGCACACGTGGCACTTAACGACAACAGGCCCATGAAGAACACTTAACTTTGGCAGCTGCCAATGGTGACTGCTTGGCTCCCTAAAATTGGCTAGTTCCTGCACAGTCATCTTTGGGGCCCTTGGGTTTGGCTATTCCTCAACTGTCTCCCTCTTCCCTCCAGTCTCCAAAGGTTTTCACTTGCCTCTGGACTCCATGTAGCTCATGTTTTAGCCTGTCAAGTTGGTCACCATTCTAGCACTTTCTGCAGGGAAGGTGGGGGCGGATGAGGCCAAGAGAGGATGGAAGATAACACTGTCAAGGAAGCTCACTGACTGATTTGTCTGGAAAGGCTTTCACATCTCCCTTGGTATTCAGGCTGGCCGCATCCCCTCCCCCATATACATGTAAGTCCATCCCTCAGAAAAGGAGACTGAAGAAGAAGCATTCCAAGAACCAAACCACAGGCTATTGAAATGTGACTTTTCAGACCCTAGGTTTGTCTTTCCGCTAGAGGTGGTACTTTCTACTGCACTGCCAGTGCTATCCGGATCATATATTTGCCTTTATTGAAAGGAAAAGAGGTAGAATCTTCCTTTCCTTCACAGCATAGGGGCAGGAGTGGCTACATGGCACACTGAGAAGTGGAGTTCAAGGCCAATGCCAAGGGCAAGGAGCAGTGGGGTGAGGTAGAAAAGGGGCTCCTTCATGCCTGGAGCCAGTCCAGATACAGCCCCCCCATTCCCTTACTGTTGGGTATGCGGCAGGCATGCTTGGAGTCCGTGCTTTGGAGTAAGACAGATGTGGGTTTGAGACACCAGATCCTTTCTTTGATTTAATGTTCTACTGATGCCCTTTTTAAATCCCTAGTTTTTGAACAAGAAACCCATTTTCATTTTGCACTGGGTGTCGCAAATTATGTCACAGGTCATCATTGACCAGTCATTAATTGTGTGTCCTTGATGAAGTATCTTAACCTGAGGGAACCTCAGTTTTCTCAACTGTGAAGTAACAGTAATAACCACCCCTGCCTTACAGAATAGTCAAGGATGAGCTATGAGACCACATACGGAGTCCTTGCAGGACCCAGCATCAAGTAAGTACAGAGCCAATGACAGTTACTACTATGGACAACATTATAATAACCACAGGCTATTATGTGACAACGCAGACACCCCGCTCAACAAAAAGTATGCTGACAACTGTGTCTCAGACCGAGAGACCAGGACAGGGGCCCCGGCCTTGGCCTCTTACCTCCCCGAAATGGCTGTGTTTGCATCTGCAGTCGGATCTTGATTAGGTCCACAGGCGTGCCCAGCCCGACAGAGACCAGACCGGCCACCGAGCTGGCCAGGATCAGGTCAGACAGCCCACGGGCTGAATTGGCCTCAGGCTCCCTGCTGTGGTGCTGGCTGAGGAACCTCTTTGTGTTACTGAAGACCCCAAACACCACTGAGTTGTAGACAGCGATGCTGGCAAGGGGGAAGGACATGCCCTTGAAGAAGCCAAACACCTGTGGGGAAACCCAGTGGAGGCAGCATGAGGGCCGGGCTGTGCACAAGAAGGGAGCCGACCCCACCCCACCCACCCACCCCAGCTGCCCCCTGCAAAAGTTAGAGCCCAGCCCCCACCCTTGTGATGTCTGCAGAAAAGATAAGCCAATATGCCTCTGAACACAACACGACTGCCATGTGGGAGGAGAGGGGAACTGTGAGGGCCGGGCATTCTGGCCCGGAGGAGAGTGGGTTTGCTCCCTGGGCAGTGCCGGCTGAGCGGGAGCTGTCCTCGCCCCCACAGTATAGTGCTCGGGGGCTGGGAAGCCTTCACGCTGTGGCTGAGGGTGAGCCTGTGGAGCCCGCAGGGTGTGGGCTTGTCAAGCACCGCAGACACCCTCTTCTTTTGCCCCTCAAACAAAAGCGTGCCCAAACACTTGCCATGTGGCAGGCCCCGGCGGACAAGCATAAGGAAGGAATTCTCCCCGCCACTACTGGGCTCACAGTCTGAGGCAGGGAAAGGGGGAGAGGACCTGGACAAACTGACAGGCAATTAAAATACAATGAGCTAAACTTAGAGGTGAGGGGGTAAGAAGAACCCACCCTGAGGCGCGCTGTAGATGGGTATCCCAGGGTGTCTCCTGGCTGACTATAGGAGAGGGGTATGTCCAGCAGGCAGAGGAAAAGGCTTCTGTTCATACACAGGATACAGAAGGCTGAGGTCAGCCTTTTTTGACTGCATTCTCAGCATCACGTATGCTCCAGTGAAAGCTAGAAAATTCTATAGGCCTTTGGAGGAGCCAGAGTAGCACATGTGTTCCAGCCCCGTGTCTGAGATGGAAAAGTATCAGGAAGCTGTCATACAAACTCCAGGTTGCATGCAAATCTGCTCATCCAGACCTAAGCATGTGCACCCTGTTTGCTAGAGGCTCACTGATAAAGGGACGCCACACACACACACACTCACACACACTCACACACACTCTCTCACACATACCCTGCTTGGGCTCTTCCTCAGCTATATTGGGATGAAGCTTGACCCTGAGCTGCTCTGTTCCCGAGGAACACCCTTGGTGCTGGCAGGAGCCCTGGGGCTAGCACAGTGGCTGGCAGGCACTACGGCGTGTGTGCCAAAAAGGAGACCCAACGGCTGCTTTTCAAGGCACTGAGGAGTTGCACATCACTGAGAACAGCTAGTGCTAGGTTCACAGTGCTCACTCTGATTTTAAAGGCCCTCATCCGGAGAGTACAAACAGCACTCTGACACTTCATCTCAGGAGAAGCTCCTGGAGCAGGCAGGAGATTCCTGAGTCCCAGGGCATCCGCTACGAGGGAGCCTGGTGGACACAGAGGTCAGTCGTAAGGTCACATTTCTAGTAATTCCAGGAAAAGCTTTTGGCTGCCACAGGATGGATGTGACCGTTTCTTTACTCAACAATTCCCTTCATTCTGAATTTTAAAAATTACTTTAAATCCCCCAAAGAGGGGTCTTAGGAAGTCTCCTGAAAGCTAATTTGCTAATTCTCAAGAAGAGCATTTTTTTGATGTGTCTTCTACAAGATTGCAATCAAACTTTGAAAGGAAAAACCTTGTCTTCATCTCGCGTGACCTGTGGTGCAAGCCAGCTCCGGGCATCTGGAACCAGAAGCCCCAGTTCTCACTGCTCACTGATAAAGGGACGCCTGTGAGCACATGGTTCATGGGCCACACATTGGGTTTTGAGAAACTGACCAGACACCCTGTTTTTGCAGGAATTTTCCACACTGTGGTTCTAAATTCCTCTGATTTTCTCCAGAGAGTCAGTTACACAAAACCAGTTTTTTCCCCAGGGACATCACCCTAGGTGCCAGGGGTAAGTTTAGGTGACATGTAATGTTTGAGGTGTGGTATGACAGGAGAGGGGCAACTGAACCAAAGTGATAAGCAGGATCCCACCTGGTGTGCTGGTGTGAGGGCTGTGGCCACTGTCCCCAGGCCAGACAGGGTTTCACCCCATTTCAGGGGAGGCCCAGGCGGGTTGGTTCTAGCCGCCCCTGAAGAGGTACTTACACTCTCCTTCCTGTATACCGTGCGGATGCAGTTGAGGGTGTTCCCGTAGCCCACGCCGGCCTGCAGGCGAGCCTGTGGAGAGAGGCAAGGATGTGAGAGCCCAGGCAGAGGTGCTGCACATCTCCATGGCCCCCGAGACGCCGAGCATCTAGCACTGAGGCCCAGAGAGGAGAAGGCCCTGCCCAAAGTGGCATGGCCAGTAAGGGGGTTTGGGTTTCAGTTTGCCTGCCAGGCTGGCTCAGTCCCATACCTGCACTACCTTCCTCCGTGTCCCATACAGGTCTTGCTAAAGCAGCAGCTCTCCTGCACCGAGAGAAGAACAAAGACCAGTTTGTTGCTCGAAACAATCTTGTTCGGAGGTGTATGATCCCTGCTTCTTAAAAACCAAACACAGCTCTGTCCTACCTGCTGCCCATCATTCTGTCCTAAATATTCCCAGAATGACCTGATCTTCTCACCCTCGGACCACGTATCTCTCACCTGGGTGATAGCCTAGTCCCAGCCTGGCTTTCTTGCTTCCAACTCCTTCACCTGCGTCTACACAACAGCCAGACCCATCTTTTCCGAACAATAATGAATCTCATCATTGCTGTTTAAAGCTCCCCAATGACTCCCATTAGAATAAATACCACACTCTGGACCAGCACCCAGGAAGCCCTCACCCACACACGTCACTTCCTCTGTTTTGCAGTCCTCCATGCCCGCCACATGTCCTTGGGGCATAAATTCTTTCCCACTTTCAGAATATCTGGCCTATTGTTCCTCTCCCCTGGTTTTCCCCTACCTCTTGCACATCTTTGGGGTCTGACTTGCAATCTTGTAATGGAGATATCTGTTTGTCTGCTTACTTGGGGCTTATTTGGGCTCTCCTTCTAGGGCAGGGCTGTTTCTACTTCCCTTTTATCCCCAGAGCCTGCCTCAGCTCTGGCACACGTTGGCTGAAAAGAGGCCAGATGGTGCGGCATCCTCTTACTGAAGTTGGTTCTGGTGACCAATGGGCAGCAGTTAATAGAAACAGAGGGACTGAGTAAGCCCACCAAAGTGCCCAGGGCACCCCCCGACCCTGGTCTCAGAGGGTTCCTCTGCTTTTATGGCATGCAGCCCATCCATTAAAACTTTCTCAGCACCACAACATGCTGTGGATGGTAGGAAGGAGCAGTAGAGTCACACACATAGAGGAGACACGAACCCTGCCACCCAGAACCCAGCCTTCACTGAGGAACTAAGACCCAGGGTGCAGGCTAAGGCTTCACCCTAACAACCTGAGCTGTAGATAAGTCAGAAGGCCCTGAAGAACACACAGCACAAAAGTGATCTCTAGGGAGAAAATCATGGGTGATGTTCTACTGCATTGAACTTTCCCTTCATTTTCCAACTATCCCAAAATAAGAGTTGTTTCCATTATTTTTAGCTTATAAAATTAAAAAGTAATTTTATGTGCACAAATAACATAAAAACACATTCTCTTCATAGAAAAAAATTCAACAGTACACATAAGACTAAAGCCTCCTTTGGCTCATTCCTCTCCCTCATCTCTCCTCTCCCCTGAGCGCATAAGCACAGCTATTAGAATGGCTAAGAGGGCCTCCCTGGTGGCGCAAGAGGTTAAGATGCAGCACTATGAAGCTATCTGCAGCCACTGCAGCACGAGTTCAATCCCTGGCCAGGGAGCTACCCACATGGAGCAGCAGACCTCTCCTGACTCGCCTACTGCACCCCTCAGCAGTGTATTTCAGTCAATCCACCTGTTCTGTTCCCTGCTCTGTCTCTGGTGAATCCTCTCACCCCCCCACACCTCTGGCCTGTATCCCAGTTCTTATATGTATAAATAAATAAATCTTAAAAAAAAAAAAGATTGGCTAAGAGCTTGGCAGGCACTCATCTAAATAGTTTTATAAACATAGATAGCCTAGAAACTATGTCATGCTCGTAAAGCTAAATGGTATCACACTCTCCCTAAGTATTATTTTCATTATCAGAGAGCTGTAATTATTGACTCACTCCGCCAATATTTATTGAGTACATGTTTTATAATAGTCACTGTTACAATCTCAGGGAATCCAGCAGTAAAGAAAACAAATTCTCTGCCCTGGTAGTACTTGCAGAGAATTTGGAAAAGACAATCAATAAAAAAATAATTCCCAAGTAGGGAGCCTCTCCAGTGGTGCAGCGGTTGAGCGCCGCACTGCGAAGCTGTCCGCAGCCGCTGCAGCACTAGTTCGATTCCCCGCCGGCCAGGGAGAACCCCACATGGCGCAGCAGACCTCCCCTGCCTTGCCCGCTGCTCCCCTCAGCAGTGTCCTTGGTCCATCTGCCTGTTCTGCTCCCCGCTCTGGCTCTGATGAATTCTCTCACCCTCCTGCGCTTCTGACCTGTACCCTAGTTCTTATATAAAATAAATAAATAAATCTTTAAAAAAATAAACATTCAGAAAAAAAAAATTCCCAAGTAAATACACGATGACAGCTATGAAGAGCAATAAGCAAGGACCAGAAAGGATGGGTAGTAGGGAAGGAAAATTAAATGTTATATTGGGTGGTGGGGAAGAGGCCCAGGAAGATGTAACAAAGTGAGAACAGAGTCTTCACTGTCTTGATAAACGGAAACACAGAAGTTTAAATTGGGATGGGGTATCCCTCACCGGAGTTAAGATACCGTGGTGCCAGAGGAGGTGGGGGCAAGGCTCTGCTCGCTCTTTCTGCCCCACCTAAGGCTGGTATGAGGCTGCATACTCTCCCCTGACCCTCACCTCGATCAGAGCTGCCCCTGGGTAATGAATCTACAAAACCCTTTAGCCCCCAGAGGGGTCAAGTTCCCACTGAGATGGTTGAGTGGCTGATCACTCAAGCAGAGGGTACATGGGGGACTCAACCCAAGAGCCTAACTCAGATCACACAAGTTTTAGAGCCTTGAACGAAAGATCAGCAACCTGCCGAGTCCTTAGGAGGCTACCTCGAGCACAGCTAGCAGCCAGCTCAGGGCTCCAGCGCTTCAATTACAATAGGAGCTGGCATTTAGTGTGCACCAACTGCATACTTGGGCAAGCACTGGGCATCTTACAGCACTTATCCCACAAAACTAATCTAATTTGCAGATGAATAAATCTGACTCCTTGGGCTAATTTCCTTGGGCTAATTGTTGCTATAAGAAATTACTAAGTGGGGCCTCCCTGGTGGTGCAGCGGTTGAGCGCTGGCTTGCGAGGCTGCCTGCAGCCTCTGCAGCACCGGTCCGATTCCCGGCCTCCGGGCAAGGGTCCCACATGGTGTGCAGACCTCTCCTGCTGCCTGCTGCTCCCCTCAGCAGTGTACTTCTTCAGTCTGCTTTCCGCTCTGGCTCTGGTGAATTCTCCCGCCCTCCCGCGCTTCTGACTGTACCCAGTGCTTGTATAAATAAATAAAATAAATCTTTTTTTTTTTTTTAAAGAAATTACTAAGTGGCTTAAAATAATGTCAATTTATTGTCTTACAGTTCACTAGTTGGTCTAAAGGTATCTGTGCTCTGATGAGAGACCCTAAACCAGGCACAAACCCCATATGTACCAGTGCCAGGAGCCAGGTGAGAACCCTGATCTCAGCTCCACTACTACTGAGCAGCCAGTGGGCAGCTCTCCCCACTGAGGAAGCAGAGACCTCAGACCCGCCTCCTTCTAGGTGGGTCCACATGTGAGCCCTGAGACTTCAGACAAGTTCTCCCTTATCTTTCCACAACCAGTATGTGTGTGCTCATCAGGGCAGGAACAGCATGCTTGTCACTCTGCCCTCAGTGTTATGGGGACAATGTTCATGACAGCCCTACTGGGAGACTAAGGAAGGTAAAGGGCTGTGCCCAGGGTCACAAAAGAGTAGGGAGGCTGGGACTGGACTCTAGATTATTCTGACTGGTAAGCTTTTTTGCAGGCCTTTCTCAGGGGATAGTGACTCTAGAGAAAATGTCAGCAAAAGGAGGGAAGAATGTTTGGAGGGAGAAATAAGGCCCCTGGCACATTCCGGGGCTGGGCCCAAAGGCAGGTCACATAAGCTGATGTTGCCAGGCTGGAACCCTCCTTGGAGGCCCTCGCCTTGAATGAAGAGTTTTCTGGATCAGGAAAGGTCCCCTCCAGAGGCTCAGAGTGCAGAGAGAAGAAGGCAGACAACCACAGTGTTTTCAGGTGACATGGGGCCACGACTGGGCACGAGAGAGAGCGAGAAAGAGAAATGGCAACATGCTGCAGGCCCTGTGGAAGCAGCAGAGGGGAGCTGGTCTCCACCACGCTCCACCAGCCCCTGGCCAGGCTGGGGCGAGGGGAGAACACTCCACCAGGGAGACAAAATTTCCTGTGTCAGGAATGTGGCTGAAAGGCCACCAAGGCAGGGATCGGACCTGCTTAGTCCACCAACGTCTTGGCATCCGCACAACACCTGCACAGAGGAAGCATCCAGTACATGTTTGGTGTGAGTAAAAGGCAGGGCCTATGTGAAGGGCACAAAAAACCAAGACATATCTTCACTGGCCTGTCAGTGTCCAGAATTCTACTACCAAACGATTTCTAAAAAGACCTTGGCAAAAAAGACCTTGGCAAACAGACTCATATCGAAAATGACAACAATGATGATAAGAAAAGCACATTAACATTAGGACTCCTTGCCAAAGCAACCAATTTCTTATCCACTAACACTATTTGATTGGTGAACTGAAAAAAGGGAAAACTGAAAAGAGATACCCCTAAGCCTTTCCTTTCTACATTATCATCCGTTCACTTGATCTTTGATGGATGAATATTTTGCCTTTGAAGACCACAATGGATTTCCCTGAGCAAACCACTATTTTTAGCCTTTCCTTTTAAGTCACAGAAACTTCAAGATATTTGTCATTTATGAAGCGACCCCATAAAATTGTCTGTGCTCTCCTCAAAAGGATATGTCCAAGTCCTAACTCTCCATACTTATGAATTTGACTTTATTTAGAAATAGGGTCTTGGCAGATGTAAATTTAGGGTCTCGAGATGAAAGAAATCATGCTGGTTTCTAAAGCCAACGACTAATGTCCTCATAGGAGAAGGGAGAGGGAGCTCTGGCGCACAGAGGTAATGGGGGGAAAGTGATGTGAAGACAGAGGCAGAGATGGCGGGGTGGGGGGCAAATTCATATAATGCCAAGGATAGCCAGCAGCCACTAGGGCCAAGGAGAATGGTGAAGAGACCCCCCACTCCCACCTCAGGGCCTCCAGAAGGAGCCAACCCTGACAAGACCTTCATTTTGGACTTCTGGCCTCCTGAACTGAAAAAGCATTTCTGTTGTTTTACTCCACTTGGCTTGTGGCAATTTGTTACAGCAGCCCCAAGCAGACTAGGACACCACCCAGTTTTTTGTAGTTCAATCTCTCACACACAATTCAACAACTGTTTGTTACTTTTTACAACAACTATTTGTTACGATTCACTTTTCCACATTTGGCACCCAGAGACGGTGAGAAACTCCAGGGTCAGCCAACTGAAGAAGTCACTCAGGATGACTGTTTGCCTTTTTTTTTTTTTTTAAAAAAAAAAAGATTGATTTATTTATTTATACAAGAACCAGGGTACAGGCCAGATGCGCGGGAGGGCGAGAGAATTCACCAGAGACAGAACAGGGAACAGAACAGGCAGACTGATGAAATACACTGCTGAGGGGAGCAGGGGGCAAGACAGGAGAGGTCTGCCACGCCATGTGGGACCCTCGCAGGGCGGCTGGCATGAAACCGGCACTGCAGAGGCTGTGGACAGCTTCACAGCATGGTGCTCAACCACCTGCGCCACCAGGGGAGGCCCAACTGTTTGCCTTTTGAGGGATCCTCATAGTCCTCCAAGAGACAAAGGCAGAGACTTCATTTAAGTCAGAAGATTTTAAATACACTTTCCAAACCTGACTGAGATCCAGATAGACATTTACGCATGATACGGAAATAAGAAAAACTTAATCAATATCGAATGGTGTTGCTCAAATAGCAGCTACTGATTCTGAATGCTTACTAGATACGGGGAATGACACACCAATGCATGTTTACCCTGCAGGCTAGAGATTTGTGCCCTATTTAACAGAAGGCTGTGCAAGCAGGAAATGGTGAAAACAGGATACAGATCCGGAATCTGTGTGACTCCAAAGCCATGCTTTCTGGCTACTTCCCAAATCATCACACTGTCCTGGACAAGTATGTCAAATGAACTTCTGATGCAGCAGACCAGGAACAGGTGAGGTGAATTTGGGGGAGGATGGAGAAGGCCAGAAACACCCCGGACACTCAGGGAGATGTGGAGAATGTCTCCATGAGTCTTCCAAGTCTCCTGAGGCCCAGCCCCTAAAGAGGTATACAGCAGGCTCCCTGGACCTAGCCAAGGTATAGCCAAGATAGCCGCTCATTCAGTAGGTGCTCCCACCAGCTGTGCTAGCTAAGCCTTGAATGGGGGTGTCAGAGGCTGACAGCTGCCGGGAAACTGGTCAGCCATGGATGGGGGAGAGAAAAGAGAGCGCAGCAGGCATCCCAGGGCCTGACTTGGTTCTGGAGAGCCCTGGGGAGGGTATGGCATGGGCCTACCTCTTGGCAGCAATGGTCCAGGCTTGATACACTGGTCAGTCCACTTTGGGCACGGCCAGACCTTACTGCCCTTCTCATTGAATTCTGAGAGCCAGCACTTGGATATGTGTGGCTGGTAGAAGGGAAGTGGCAAGACCCCAGTGCCCCTCACCCCCATCCCAATCTGCTCAGATTTCTCCCAGCACCATGCTATATCCCTTGCTCACCTCTCCAGATACCCACTGGCCCTCTTTGTTTTCGTGGAGAGCATACTTCAGTCCTGTTCACCCTTTGGCCTTTGCTACTTGTCCCTCTGCCATAAGCACACTGGCTCCAGCTCTGCATGTTACCCTCCCTTGGGTCATTTGGGTCTCATCTTAGCTGCCTCCTCTGCAAAGAGGCCATTGCTGGCCCTCTGGCATAGAGAAGCCTCTAGTCCCAGCCTCTGTCATCACCTATGTTCTTGTCTCCCCAGCATCGCCACTGCTTGCAAATGCCTTGTGCACTGATTGCATTCTGTAATCATTGTCTATCACCCCCTCCCCTTAGACTGTCTCCCTCACTGCTGAATCTTCAGAGCCTAAATTAGCTATAGAACTTGGCAGATATGCTGAATGGCTGGATGGTTAGAAGGCTTGGTTCTCTCCCTCCCAATACCTGCCTTCCTCCACTGCTTCTCTTGGGGTTTTGAGCAGAAGGTTGGCATTGAAGTTTTTCCTGACAAACCAGATCCTTCATCCTTAACAGTCTTTGATCCATAAGGATCACCTACTCACACAAGTCGGAGGCAGGGGTCTGCCTGGAGCAAATATACCCCCTTGGGGCTTAAGACTGGTGCTACCCCTGCTTGGCTGGTAGGCCCCAGGGCTTGCCCCTAGGCCTACATTAACTGTGGGATTGGGCCAGCCCTCAGAAGCCCTGCCACAGAACCCATAGCCAGCTGAGCTTGTTTTTAATGCATTCGCTGTCCCACTCAGGCTTTGTGGAGCTCCATGTCTGGAGAATCCTATGGGCTATAGCCTCAGGGGCCAGGGGCCTGTAGCAATGGCGTGAAGCACTTCTGCAAGAAAGTGGCTGAGACCACCTTTCTTCATTCAGGAAACAACTGCTGGGCTCTGTTCTGTTCCAGGAACTCCAAACGTGGAGAAGACACTGGGCAGTGAGGCACAGGTCCAGGAGCCAAGTTTACTTTGGGTTTTGAGCCCCAGTACTGCCACACCCCAGTTCTGAGGTTTGGAGGAGGTTCCTGAACTTGTTCCTAGGAAACAAGGGGGTGATTATACCAGCCCCAGGAGGGTAGGAGTAAGCCTGTGACTCACCACTCTGTGTCCAGCAACCAGCACCAGACCCTGCCTTCCATCTCCCTTAGACTCCCCTTGTCCACTAAAGTGTTTCTTCAACCATTTAAGACCTTGCCATCGAAAAGAGAGCAAGCTTGGGCTCTGATCTAGGAGGGGCCTTGGACAGGCATGGAGGAATACTGAGGGGAAAGGCAATTTGCAGCAGCCAATTGACACAGTACCCAGAAGGTTCCTCTCTGCAAGATCCAGGCAGAGTTGATTCTGAAGTTAAGGTTGAGGCTGCACTATTTAAGGCCATGTTCTCAGGGCATGGTGCTGGGTCTTGCTCACCCCTGGGGACAAAGAGGGTCCCTTTGCAGCATCTACTCTTCAGTGCACTAAGTAGCTGTGAAATCTGAGACAAGACCCTTTCCCCTTCCAAGTCTCAGTCTCCACATTTGTAGAACAAGTGGGTTCTTGGAAGAGCCCACACGAGATACCCTGCCTGTGCCAGAATATTCACACTCCACGTGCATCATCGGTGGTTTCCCATTCTCAGCCTATATCCAGAGTCCTCATGTGAGATGTGAGGTCTATGAAGATAGAGTGCTCACCTCACCTCCCTTTCCTGGATCCCAATCCTTAGCTGTTGTCAGAAGCCCAACATATCAGCAAATCTGGCCATTTTGGCCTTTCCTGGGCAGAGTCCCCATCTCAGTGCCTTTGCTTATGCTGTTCCCTGAGCCTAGAATACCTTTCCCAATCACCTGCAACCCAAGCTTAAATTCTGGGCTCAGATGTCATCTCACACATGAAACCTTCTCTGGTTCCTTGAATCCACAGGGATTTTCAGGGGGACACCCACAGTGCCCAAACCCCCTCCCCCAACCTCATGAGGACCTGGAGGCAGAAAAGGGGCAGTCACAACAACAAAATCACTGCCAAGTAAAGAGGGTCGAGCCATTCCAAACCAGGCCTCCTGGCACCACTCCCCATGGGCTAGCACAAAGAGCCTGCCCTGGGCTGGTGACTCCCCGGGGATCAGAAACAGCTGACACAGTCCTAGGAAACACACTCACTCCAGGAGGTAATGGCTAACAAGGCTACTGTACCTTGACCGTGTCCAGAGGGTGGCCGATGATGACACTGGCTGCACCTATGGATCAAGAAGAACAACTGGTCACTCAATCCTTGCACTCCTACCTAGTACCAGTGGACTGTTGGGGCAGAACAGAGGGCTAAGGCACTTATATCTACAAGGTCAACGGCTATTTTCCAGAGGGGACCACAATGTACTAAATAAGGCAGAGTAAATGGAGTAAAACCTGGACCCTGACTTAAGAAATGAGCACCCCAAGAAAGGAAGGTGAACCCCATAGAACCCTTATCTTATACCATATATAAAAATTAACTCAAAATAGATCAAAAGCCCAAGTAAAAGCACCAAAACTATAAAACTCATATAACTAAAACATAAGGGGAAAAATCTTCATGACCTTAGATATGCAATAGATTCTTAGATATGACACCAAATCCACAATCAACAAAAGAAAAAATTAGGTATCATAAAAATTTAAAGTTTTTGTGCATCAAAGGATACAATCAAGAAAGTGAAAATAACCTACAGAGTGGGGGGAAATATTTGCATATGGTATATTTGATAAGGATCTGGTATCCAAAATGCATAAAGAACTCTTACAGCTAAAAAAAAAAAAAGTTAAGTGAGCAAAGGACTTGAATAGACATTTCTCTATATAACAATGACCATCAAATACATGGGAAGGTGCTCAACATTACTAATCATTAGGGAGATGCAAACAAAAATCAAAATGAGATTTCCTTCACACCCACTGGGTTGGCTATAATAAAAATTAAAAAAAAAAACAAAAAACAACAGTGTTGGCAAGGACATGGAGAAATTGGGACATTTTTCCAAAACAGTTGCTGGTGAGACAGTTTGACAGTTCCTCCAAAAGTTGAACATAGAATTCCCATGAAACTGAGCAATTCTGCCCCTGTGTCCCCCCAAAAAACTGAAAACAGGCACTGAAAAAAGTACCTGCACACACATGTTCATAGAAGCACTATTCACAAGAGCCCACAGGGAGAAATGCCCCAAATGTCCATCCTGGAAGAATGGACAAACTGCTAATTTCATACCATGGAACATTATTAGACACAAATAGGAATGAGGTGCTGATACATGCTGTGATGTGGATGAATATTTAAAACATTATACTAAGTGAAAGAGGCCAGACCCCCCCAAAAAAAAAACCATCAATGGTCACATTATGTGACTTGATTTATTTTCTTTTTTTATTACATTCTTTTTTATTTTTAATGATGAGCCATTATTTTGCATCCTTGTTTATTTTCTCACAATCTAGGATTTCTCCCCTTAGGTGTGGTTACCAGAGTTTTCCCACACCCAAGCTCTCATAGACCTCCACCATAGTCCACTGTGTTCTCCCCTCTGCCTCAGCAACTGGCTTTTCCCTAACCTGGCCCCTAACCTCCCCCGTTCCCCATTTTGGAAGAGGGGCTGCCAACCACCCAGTTTCTGATGATGTTCTTAGATGGGGCAAGAGGAGTATTTTACAATAAGCAAAGTCCCTCAAAGTGCCCCCATCCCGCCCCACCAATAACTAACAGGGAGAAGCCAACTGGAAAGAGATTGGAGAGGAAATGGAAGCGACTCTCGCCCAAGCAAACTCATCCCAGACCCAGGAGAGGCTCCGAAGCTGTACGAAGGGACCAGAGCGCCCAAAGGACAGGCCTGGCTGTAACAGTGGCTGAAGGCCAAGGGGATTGATTCTTCCTGACAACAGGCACCTGAAGCTCAGCTCTCGGCTTACTAGGGCCGCCCAGACAGCGAAGCCGGCTCGCCATCCCGCCACCGGGGGTCACTCGCCAAGCGCTACCCTCACACACAAATTCCTTCTATCACGTCCCCAATTTCATGTGTGCGCCTGGTCGCCAAAGGGTGTGTACGCGCCGAGACGCTCCGTTGGCCGTCAGGTTAGGCCAGAGGTTTAATCATTATTGGATCACGTTCTGCGAATCCTAATTTTGAGACAAATCCGAAGCAGAGGTCATCGTTGTGAAGATCGCCGAAGTTAGCTTCTGCAGCAGGCGGGGGAATCGCTAGACCGCGGCGCGCCGCAGGCGGGCGCACTCCGGAGCGCGCGTTGGGAGTGTCCCGGCACCGAGCAATCTGGGCCCCGCACAGTGTGGAAAACTCCGCTTGTGCAGCGCTCAGCCGGGCTCGCGCGCTCTCCGTCCGGCCCGGGGGGTCTCTGCAAGCACACTCACCTCTAAGGGTCCCCCGTAAACACGCTCACCTCCGATCCAGCCCGCCGCAAAGTCTTCCAGCTGGAAGATGCCCATGGCTGGTGCCGAGGCGCCCCGCCACGCGGAGTCGGGTCAGTGCCCCGTCAGTGTCTGCCCTCCATGGACGGAGCCGCGCGCGCCCAAAGAAGAAGAAAGTAGGAGCACGGCAGCTCTAACTCCAAACCCCAGTCTCCGGGTCACCAGCCCCGCTCTCCTTTCAAGAGCTGGCGGGCAGCTGACATCACGCCCCCAGCGGACTTTAAAGGCGCAGCACTCTGGCAGGGCAAGGGTGCACTGGCCTGCACACCCCAGACTCAGCTGGCTGCCCTCAGGGAGATCACCTGAGCCGGCCTTCTGCCTGTCTTCCTACGCACTGTCAAGTGCGGAGCCTCAGGCCTGGAGGCCAATGTGCCAGCCCGTAACTGTTCACATGGTGTCCCATTGGAAACGTTTTCTGGGACTTCTGGTAAAGTTCATTAGGAGAGCTGGGGAGAGAGGCTTAGCTAACTAAGGCCAGGAAGTGTCTGATGACCAGCACCAAGGACTCTCCGTGACAGGATTATTACCTGTGAAGACACGTTCTCTTTTAAATTAAAACAGCAGTGAAGTATCAACTACACCAGAACCTTTTGAGGAGCTGATGGAAAGCCACGGATGGCTTCACTATGACAGACATATTTTCCCAAGCTGGTTTTATAGATTAGGGCCCCCCGCCGCCTACACATACACCTCTACACAGGATTCAGAACTTTATTTATTCACGAACGTTTAAAATAATGTGGGGGAAACCCTTAGCTCTAAATTAATATTAGCTCTTGATAGTGCCCAACATTTTCTGAGCACTTAAATCATGCCTCCTCACTGTCCTTGTACGTACTCCTCACAGCAACCCTGTGAGATGTTATTGTCCCCATTCCTAGATGAAGACAAAGACTGTTTTGTGTATATAATCTATATTTATATAACATTCTACACGCACACATAAGCAAGCACGCGCGCACACACACACACACACATACACACACACCACAAAGGTTTTAATCTCCAGAAAAGTGGTCAATTTAGACTAATGTCTTGTCTGAGTGACAGGTTTAGTTAGCTATGTGTGGAGAGACTTGAGCTTATTCCAAAACACCCGGCTATCATAATGGGGGGGCCTAGGGGAGACCTGACCCAGAATTGCAGATTCAGCAGCACCCCTGTAGAAGGCACACATCTCCTGCTGAGAGCACCCCTCACCAGGTGGGTGAGGCTGGTCATGAGGTCCCAGCAAGGTAGCACACTGTACCTCTGGAGCTGCCTGTCTTGCAGCCCCCAGAAGCCACTGAGAGCCACTTGAGGGACAGAAGCCACTGCAGTTCCCTTACCCCTGTCCCAGGGCCCTGTGGAACAGCTACCAGCCTGTTTCTATGGACAGGCAGCCCCCCAGCCCTTTTGAGTCACCTGGGGAAATGCTTCTTACCACCCCAAACACACCCTCCTCTGCTTCTCTGTAAACTTGCACACTCCAGACAAGCAAACAGATGGATGATGGACCCAGCACTGCCTTGCCCTGAGGATGTCCTCGAGCCTAACCGGTGGTGAGGGCTTTACACGGTCCACACTCTCCTCACAGCGGTGGAGAGCAGACCCGAGCACCTTCCCACTGATGGTCAGTATTTTTGTCAACTTGGTGATTCAGTTACATGCAAGTGTAGGTGTTGGGGGTGGGGGGGAATCTTCAGATGTGGTTAATATTACCACCTGTTTTCTTTAAGGAAGGGAGCTTCTCCTGGCCAATCTGGTTTCATCCAGTAGGTTGGAAGGACTTATGGCAGAATGGGGGTGTCCCCCAGGAAAAAGAAATCTCACCTGTGGGAGGCAAGGTCAGCCCAGACCTGCGACCCACCCTCTATCTTCAGACCTGCTACAATCATGGGACAAGTATGTCTCTGATTCTCTGGTGAAAACGTGACTATGAAATAGAGGTGGAGACCAAGGCTCTCAGAGCCGAAATGAGTTTCCATCAGTCAGGGGCTGTTCCCCCTTCCCCACACCCCACCGCAGCTGCGAGGCAGTAGAGAAATTCCAGGGACAATCTACAGTTTGCACTTGTCCCCTCAGACCTCTCCCCACACATCTCCCATCCTCCCCCATTCCACTTTCCCACCCAGCCGCGCTCCTGTCAGGCTGGTTCCCTGGCCTAATCTGGTGGGCAAATGCTCTCTTCCCCATCCTAATCCCAGGAAACCATGCTTACTGCCACCCCAGCGCTGCCCCTGGTGGTTTCAGGATCATGTCTCAATTTCAGGTATAGCTCACCAGAGGCCCAGCTCCTTCCAGGCCCAGGCTCATCCTATGCTGTCCACCTTGGTCCTCCCAGAAAGCAGGCGGTGGTCCTTTCTCCCTCATACTATTTCCAGGTTCCAGCTGGACGTCCATGCTCACGGGGGAAATGACCTGGCAAACTTGGTTCTCCCTCTAAGGAGAAATATTTTTTTCTGATTTGACTTTCTCCAGTGTCTTACCAGTTTCCATGTAGCTTTGGCACGCAGTCAACACCCCAGGATTGAAAAGTGAGGGGTATGGCCTGGAGGAAGGGCCTCTTCTGGGTTTGTTTTCTCACTGGCGCATCAGTCTCACATCATTTGGGCCAACATGCATGCAGCAGTAGCCAGCTAGGCCTCTTCTCCCAAAGCAGGATGGAGTCTGATCACCGAGGCTTGAACCTGGGACATGCGCTGGCTTAGTTAGGAGACATGAAAGGACTCTAAAGTGACCTTTTGTGAGTTCACCATTGGAGCAAGTCCCAGAAGGAAAGCCTTCCAGTTCCCTCAGACCCACTCT